TGTCGGATCCGCCCATTGCCGAAATAGTGTTGAAGTCCCGAACATCTCCTTCAGCTAGCCTCCCGGAAACACCGGGACCCGCGACACAGCTACAGTTCACCCTGCCGCTGCATGGCATGCCAGACGTACATCGCCGTACATCCCGCCATTTTCGCCAACCCGCGCGCTCCTGACGACCAACTCTCGGCCGCCTGAGGACTCCCGTGCACTTGTCTTCTCATGACGAAGCCTTCGCTTTTTTCGGAAGCCAATCCGAAGACTCCGTCCGAACACCCGAAAATTACGAAAGCTCTAACGAACATCCCCGAAAAACACGACGAAAACGCCGTCCACTCTTTCGACAGGAAATAATTCCATCTATGACCAGGAAAGGGGAGGACCGGCCAATTCCAGCCGTCCACCGGTCAGGATCTGACGGCATCGACAACGCTCGCGCAATTAATCTCCGCGGCGTTCGCTCGCCATCAGCATCCTTCCGCCCCCTTCCCCGATAGTGTCTGCTCCCCTACCGGAAGCCTAATGGGTAGGAACGTAGCTCTAATACCAGCTGTTATAAATATAACTCGGAGTATAGCGCAGAATACTATAGGGGAACGTGATTACAATGTGTCCTATCCAAATTAGACATAGGGCTTATATAGTGCGAGTTGACCAGGTTGAATGTCGAGGGTTGGACCAGTCAAGGGCTCGATAGTCCGAGGGTGACGGGGTCAAAATGGGTTCGGGGCGACTCGGGATCAGGTTGGGGCCGAAAAGGTCGATGGGGGCTGGTTTGGCGCGATAACCAAGGGCCGAGTCTGCGGACACGCACTGTTCGCGTGTACTCCCTGTGGCGAGCCCTAGTAAGGAATTGTAATTCCTTACAGAGGCCCTGCGCGTAACACGGGGAGTGCTGCAAAACGGGCTGCTCTTGTTACCCGAGTAGTTAGCAATCCAACGCGAAGGTGTGAGGGATTACAATTCCGTACTGTGCTAAATTACAGCACGTACACCCGAAGTCCTTGACCTTGCAGGTTCGGCCAATATTTTCGGCCCAAACATCCCCGACTCGCGTTCCAACAACCTCGCCACCCTTCCGAGCCACCTTACGTCCCGAGGTTCTCGCCCAAGCACGGTTGTGGAGGGAATGACGCACTTCTGGAGAGTGGCGTTTCCAATTCCCGTTGTCACAGGAAGTTACGTACCCTTGTTGCCCGAGTCAGTCACATCTTGGTTCTCTCACAAAAGCTTCCCGCACCACTTCTGTTTCTAGCACGGGCAACCGCACCCCGTTTTGAAGCACATGGTGTGCACTGTTTCCATTCAAGACAATGGCAATTATGAGCTTGCCTGCCGTGACAAACCCCATTTGCCCGTCCAGCCTCGCCTCCAACTACTTCGCCAGGAGTTTGTGCGAAATAAGGCATCAACGATGGCGGAGTCGCAAGAAACCCACGGGTTGGTTTGTGGGCTGTGTTACCCTGCTTTATAATTCTGACGAATTTCGAAGACATCACAAGCAAATCAAGGGGGTACCGGCTGTTGATAATCGAACAAATGTAGCCCCCTTCCGCCATCCCACCATCTCGCGTATGACAAAGAGGGTAACCCAAGAGCAACACTTACAGTCCCATATGCCCGTGGCGAGGTCTGCGGAATGAAAGTGGCGTTTTCAGTCCCTTCGGCCCAAAAACCTGGAGTGACTGACTCGGGCAACAAGGGTACCATGTACACATGGTGCCCGCCGGAGGCCTAGCTCAATACGTGGCCCAATCAGAAACCATCGCCCACTAGCGTTGTCACACGGGCAACGACCCACTCAACGTGGGCCGTGAACAGAGCCAGCAGTACAGCGTCATCATGACAGCGGTGACAAACATGCGGCACAAGACGAAAGATGTGCGCCGCAACCGTTTTCGCCACAAACTTCCAACCGCGCTCGGAATAGCGCTCCGGCGAAGGTCAGCGAGCCTTTCGTTGAGCTCGCAAAATTACACACGCCTCGCTGGGTTTGTTTGTGGCTTGAACGCCGCCGCATGAAACCGAACGCTGACTTGGCAGCGAAATGGAGTCGCGATGTCCCGATGCCAGGGGTCGTTCTCAACATCCGACAGCCAACCCAGGAACAGACTCGAAAACAAATTCCCACAATCCACGCAGTAGTTATTCTTGCGACACGAACCTTTAATTCGTAATGTAAGAAATATTTAGAACACGCCCGTAACATTTGGAGCTGAAATGCGACTCCAAAACCTCACCCCATGACACTGAGTATAAAAGGGAGCAAACCAAACCAGAAAAACTCACTCAACATCTCACCCGCCAACCACCACTCTAGTGCTACACCAGAGAAACTCACTCTCGCTTGAAAGCGCCGAAACTTAACACAGGGTAACTAAGTGAACAATGGCTCGCCAAAATATGCCACTCAAAACTACCCCGCAAAACATCAAAATGGTAACCTTCGTGCCCGTGCGAAAGGCCCACATGCCCGTGCCGATGCCGTGCGAAACCCCTGCTCGTTTTTGTCTACCAGCACCCTGAAAAGTTGTGTTCCTCTGTCAGGCTCAAGGTGTACTTTTGAATTTTCGTAAACAGCAGTCACGTTTTGGTCGCAGTTGCACAGTACTTCGTGCGCTGTGAATTTTGGACGCATCCGAGCACTATCAAACGAAACCGCCAATTTTGCGGATCTCATGGACGCAAATGCAGCGACTTGGTGGAACTGCCTACACTCTGTTGTCTATATTGATGGGTCGTTAAATATACCGAAAATAACGACAAACGCAGTCCGAAGAAACTAAAACCCTTAGTGGCCTGGCATGCCATTCCGGATTGCATGAGACCTAAATTCGTGGGCGTTTCGAGAGTTTAGGGTTGATCTTATCCCGAATGGCATGGCAAGTCCCTATGTGTTTCATTATTACTCATAGGTTATTTTTTCCATTACTGAGTCGGTTGTTCCATTCCCACTCATAACAGACGGTACATTATCGGTGATACCAGCGACTCAAGTGCGAGCGAGAGGGAGCAAGAAAGAAGCAATTTGCTCCCTGCATGAAAGGCACTTCGATGAAGCGCACTTCTTCCGCCTGTCGCCCTCACGCACGGCGCAGCAAAGCAACCCGACCGCGGCTTCTACTATGGCGGAGTCTCGTCCCTCCCCCGCCTTGTCCGCGGTCGTCGTCATCGGTCCCAGCGGCTCGGGGAAAACGTGAGGTACCGCCGCCATCGCTCTCTCTTTGTCGCGCGTGTGCCGCTCTGCGTAGGGAAGGCCCGAGACAACGTGATGTACATCAGCATCGTGAAGCCTCGATTTTCCTCCTCTCCGACGCTGCTTGTCCTTCCTTTCGTCCTCGGGACAGTGGGGATGTCGGGTCGTGGGGAGGGTGGGCTGGGACGTCCACGACGCCTACTGAAACCGCCCTGCTGTTTTCTCCGTCCAATGCTGACTGCGCTTGTCTTGTCAGGACCGTAGGGCGTCGCCTCGCGGAGCGGTTGGGTTGGGACTTCTACGACGCCGATGACTTCCACTCGCGCGACAACCGAGGTACGGCTCGCACAGCCGGTCTGGCTTGTAACGGCTGACGTTCACACGACGGCGACGACCCGTGCAGCGTAACGCCTGTCCTGGCGCATTAAAAGTGGGTGGGGAGGTGGAGAAGGCAATGACTCGCAGGACAATAGAGGGAGCCAGGGGTGGGGCCTGGAGCCGTGGGAGGTGCGGTGATGCCAGAGGGGCGCGACTGATGGTGCTGTCGCGGCGGCAGGTGGAAGGCACGCGGCAGCCGCCTTCTCCCGCCTTGAGATGAGATGTTGTTTCGTTGCGACAAGATGTCTCAAATAGGCTGCCTCGCTTTTCCCCGCTCTTGCGCAAATCGCGTCCATCACATTCACTCTCTGCCTCTCTTCCCCCCACCCCTCTGCTCCCACAGGCAAGATGGCTCGCGGCGTGCCCCTGTGTGACGCGGACCGCCTGCCGTGGCTGCTCTCCCTGCACGCGCTGCTGTGGCCCGCGCACTCGCACCCTCTCCCCCCTTCACAGCCCTGCTCCCTGGCACCCGCTGCACCACAGCAGACGGCCCTGATGCTGCCGCCTGCACCGTGCTCCCCCCTGCCTCACTCCCCTCCCCCTCCCCCTCCACCTCCCTCTCCCTCCCGTCACCCCCCTTCACCTTCCCCTGGCCACGCGTCTCCGCCATCTCACCCCCCCCTGGTTCTGGCGTGCTCTGCCCTCAAGCCAGAGTACCGCGACGTGCTGCGGTTTGGGGAGATGCAAGGGGAGGCAGGGGGGCGGGGACGGGGAGGGGAAGAGGAAATGGGGAGAGGGCAGGACACGCAAGGCTGTAAGGCACGTGAAGAGTGTGCGTGTGCATTGAGGGGTGCAGGGCGTGCAGGGTGTGCAGGGTGTGCAGGGCGTGCAGGGCGTGCAGAGTGTGCAGAGTGTGGTGCACCGGAGAATCTTTCTGACATTGATACCAAGACCAGCGATGAGGCTTCCGCTGCACTCAACAACAGAGGGGGCCGGACCTGCGCGGGTACCACAAGCAGCAGCAGATCAGACGCATGCCAAAGCGGAGAAATCAATCATGCAGGGGGCAGCAACCATTGGAGGGGCAGCACCACGACATCGCAGGCCGCACTGTGCTCTCCTTGCCTACTCTTCGTTCTGCTAGAGGTGCCGCAGCACATGCTGGCAGACAGACTCTCCCAGCGGTATTGTTCCGGTGCTCATTTCATGCCGCCTTCCCTGCTGCCGTCCCAGCTGGCCCTGCTGGCCGTGCGAGAGGATGAAGGGGACATGGTGAGGCTGCATGCTGCTCGCACTGTTGAGTGTGTGGTGGATGATATTCTGCATCTACTGGTGCACAGAATGCATGGCTAGTGCAGCATGCACTGGCAGTCTGGCAGACGGACTCACCCAGCAGTACCATTCCGGTTGCTCACTTCATGCCGCCCTTCCTGCTGCCCGCAGACAGACTCTATAGAGAGGATATGAGGGTAAATGGTGCTTGCACTGTAGATTGTGTGGTGGATGATTCTTAAAGCGTTTTCATGAATAGAGACTAGAGTGCTGCTGGCAGCTATCGTATTGATATGGCCCCTCACGAATTCCTTGGGGGCCAGTAGTACAGTATTCTATGAACACTGGCACAGCTACCCACTCATCCATCTGTTGAAGCAGCACCCTCCACACGCTCTCCCTTGCTTGTGCTCCCAACCTGTTGCCTGGTTGCCTCACCTATCTTGCCATTTGTCCCTTGCTCCACCCCTCCCACCACTTGCACCTGCACCTCGCCTGCCCTCTCAGCCTGGGCCTTGTGCCACGGCAAGTGGCCACTCGCCTCTCTCAAATCCTCCTCCGGACACAACACTGCCAAATTATGCCGCCCACCACAGACTGCAAACGCCGCCCGCCAACGGCACCTGGGCTGCCCAGAGGAGCTGCTGAGTGATCGGCTGATGCTGCCGAGCCTGCTGGACAGGTTCGGATGGTCGTCCGGATGGAAGGTAGCATCGGGGTCGCCTGGGAGAGGCACTCTGACAAGATCGCCTGTTGTTACCGAGCCTGCTGGCCCGAGCCTGCCGTCGTCCACTCTGCCAAACTGGAATAAGAGGTTTGGGAAGATGGGAGATTAAAGTGTGTGGTATTTAAAAGGTGACAATGGGGAGTGGACTGAGACAAGCTGACTGCGTTGGCTACTGTGACTGCGTTGCTTCAAGGGCTGGAAGGAGCCTGGTGATGCACTTGACTCACAGTGAAAATCCGCCCATCAAGTGTGACGACCAGCGAGTGCGTGCCGCCACACGAGGCCTGCACCACCGTTTCCCCTGCCAGCAGTGACACCACCGTTGGTACGGCCTTGATTGTCTTATCCTCCCCAAACCCCATGCGCCCGTGCTCCCCTCTTCCCCATGCCCACACCTGCACAGGAGGGATGGTGAGGGGTGATGATGGGTGATGAGAGGCGAGGGGTGACAAGGCATAGGCAACAGAGGGGAGGAGAGAGGGGCAGGGGAGGTAGGAAGGGATGTGGACTCACTCGTGACAGCAGCATGTGACAGCAGCATGTGACAGCAGCATGTGACAGCAGCATGTGACAGCTGCATGTGACAGCACCGATAACCTGAACTGATACAGGTGTCCAGCAATGTGGCTGCAACATGCAATCGGTGATCAATCACCTGACCAGAGCGAGTGACTGCCATGGAGTGCCACCCCCCTGCTGTGATGTCCACCTGCCATGTCATAACAAGCCATGCCATCCCATGGTACATGATGCCATGTGTTGTCGATTCATGCATGTGGTTGCAGCACGACACAACATAGGGGGGTGGAAGGGGGACCGTTGAGGCCGCGAGGAGCGAGGGATGCGGATAAGGAAGGAGAGAGAGCACGGGAATAGGCGCATGCAAGACTGACAAGAGGCACTAAAAGGAGACACAAGGATTGGATGCCTGCATACAATTGATCCCTTGTGCCCAACTGGCCATACTCGTTGCTGCCCCATGCTACCACCCTGCCGTCTGCCTTCAATGTTAGGTTGTGTAATGCAATAAGCAGGCATACATGCAGCACGCACCACATCAGCATGGGTGAGTTGCGGCAATTCAACGGGGAGCGAGCGCGGCTGGGTGTCCCCCGTGCCCAGCTGGCCGTACTCGTTGTTGCCCCACGCCACCACCCTGCCGTCCGCCTTGAGCGCCAGGTTGTGAAACGCCCCCACCGCTATGCTCCTCACTCCCTTGAGCCCGGGCACTCTGGCCGGCACCCACACCTGCTTGCTGGTGGAGCGGGTGGCAGGCGGAGTGGGAAAGAAGAGGGGAGTGCAGCACCCATAGGTGAGGTGTGAGGTGAGTCGCAGGTGGATAGCAGGGGCAGCAGAGCAAGCGGAGGAGTGAGGCAGGGCAAGGAAAACACGCCTAGTTTCTGGAGAGAATAGACGTCCATTAGGCAGAAGTGAGTTAGAGGTAAATACAGGCGAGGCAGTGGTGAGATCGCTAGAAAGGTAGCAACGGTTGTATCCGCATCGGGAAACGGAGACTTGCAAGCGCTGCATACTAGTCGCTCATCACACATTAAATTTACATAAAACATGTGACAAATCATGTATCATATATCACATGTCATACACGTCACACATCATATATCATGTATCAAATATCATGCAGCATATATGACGTATCACACACCACATGTCACAAACCACATACCGCATATCACACATCACAAATTACAGACACATCACACATGAGATACCACACACCACCAAAGACACATCCAACATGACACATCAGGAGGGAGAGGGGGGCCACCACATCCACACCTCCTCCTCACGCATGCAAGTTTATTGCGCGTAGAGGCATGCTAGTATGGTGTCCGCCACACAGTACAGTCATCAACTCACGCATCAGCAGGAGGCCAGGGCTGCCCCCACACCCACACCTCGCCCTCCCTTGTTAGCACCATTGAGTGCGTTCCTCCCGCTGCCACCTGGAGGGGCAGAGGCGTGGAGTTGTGCAGAGATGGGGGCCTGGACGCATTCACGCATTCCGACATGCGCGCCAGGGGGCTGAAGACAATTCCACAGACTCACACTTGACAATTCTAAAAAACCGCTGACTTGAGAATTCTAAAAAATCACCTACAACATCAGGCATGCAGTGATGTGTAGGAGAGGACACGGACACCCACGGCACGACAGAGTATGCGCAGGGGATGGGAAGACAACGCTTAGACCTGCTCCACTCTCACCTGCTCCACTCTCACCTGCTTCACTCTGACCTGCTCCACTCTCACCTGCTCCACTCTCACCTGCTTCACTCTGACCTGCTCCACTCTCACCTGCTTCACTCTGACCTGCTCCACTCTCACCTGCTCCACTCTCACCTGCTCCACTCTCACCTGCTTCACTCTCACCTGCTTCACTCTGACCTGCTCCACTCTCACCTGCTCCACTCTCACCTGCTTCACTCTGAGCTGTGGCACGCATGGGAAGGGCGAGAGAATGTCTCTGGCGCTCAGCTTGTTGCCCTGCAGCTTGTCCGCCACCTTGGCAGCACACTGCCCGTACTCGTTACCGCCTGACACGGGGGGAAACAGCGTGACAGGGTACGAGGGCAAGCCGGTAACAGGATAACCGCATCAGCTAGTTCGCCACCTTGGCCGCACACTGCCCGTACTCGTTGCCGCCTGAGCGAGAGGGAAGCAAGGAACATGAGAGAAGGGAAGGCGTGCTGTGCTGGGGTGAACAGCAGGTCCCAGCAGACAGGTTCAGAAGGTGCTTAGTATGGGATGCCGATTCCAGAGTGCCAGCTTGGGAGCTTGGCAGCATGCAAAGCAATGCGGGCATCCATGGTATGGTATGGTGGTACCAGAGTGACCCCGGGCAAAGGAAGCGTGGGAAGAGACACCCTCGCGTGAGGGCATGGCGTGCATTGCGTGCAGGGCGTGCATTGCATGGCACAGCAAATATGAGAGTGCCTGCTGCAAGCTCACCCCAGGAGAAAGCAGTGCCCTTCTCGTTTAAGGCTAGACAATGCCACCCTCCAATGGCTGCCTGCCACGTCAACAGAAGCAAAAGACATATGGGCAGAAATTAGTAGCATGGATAGCAGGTAACAATGTCAGAAGAAATTAGTGAAAGGTGAGTCAGCTTACCTGCATGCCGAGTCAGCACACACGCATGCTGCGTCAGCTCACCTGCGTGCTGAGTCAGCTCACCTGCACAATCTTCTCGTCCTTAATAGCCTCCACCTGCATACGGGAAGGGAGAAGCGAGGAGTTTGACACAGGCAGATAGGACGCAGTGGGTGGGTGGTTGGCACAAGTTAAGGAGAAATCGGAATGGCGCAATGCCATGAGGAATGATAAGTGTTGAGAGCAAGTTGGCTAAGAAGTGAAGCGCTTGGTAGGGAGGGGAGGCACCGGGCAGGAACGAGAGGAAACGAACCTAGCTTAGGGTCACCCGGTTTCGGCTTAGGGTGTACTGGGCTCGGCACCTGGCAGGGCATAGGCGCACCTGGCAGGGCAGAGACGCACCTGGCAGGGCAGAGACGCACCTGGCAGGGCAGAGACGCACCTGGCAGGGAAAAGACGCACCTGGCAGGGCAGAGACGCACCTGGCAGGGCAGCGACGCACCTGGCAGGGCAGAGACGCACCTGGCAGGGGACGGCTTCTCTTGGGGCGGCGGGTGCGGGCGGATGGCCCAACGTGCTGCGCTGATTCCACCCCCACACGAACACCTGGTGAAAAAGGATAAGAGAACAAGGGAATTAAAGCGCTGTTTCCATCCCCACACACCTAGTGGACAAACGTCAGCATGTAGGGGAGAGCGCGCGTGTGACGGCAGTGTGGGTTGAGTACGAAGAGGAGGGCGGGGGGAAGACGCGGGGATGGGAAAGTGGGATTTGAGCACGATTCCACCATGTCCAAAGCGCTGGTTGCAGTCAAGTCTCCCCATTCAGGCTTATCGGCCCATCGTCAGTGAGAGCAAGCGCGCTTCTACTTCCCCCCACCAGGTGCACCACTGGCGCCCCTGCCACTTGACTGAGCACCTTCCTTCCTTACCATGGACACACACAGCTCACCCGCCCCTCGTCAGTGAGAGCGAGCGAGTTCTGTTGCCCCCCACTAGCTGCACCACCAACACTCCTGCCAGCGCCAGCTCCAACCTACTCTGCCCTGTGAACACGTCTTACCATGCCTTAGTATACACGCAGCTTACCCGCCCGTCGTCAGTGAGAGCGAGCGAGTTTCTACTCCCCCCCACCAGCTGCACCACTGGCGCCCCTGCCAGCGCCGGCACCAGCTGCAGCGCTGCTGAATGGGTGAGCGCGCCCGTGCCCAGCTGGCCGTCCTCGTTGGCTCCCCTGGGGGGAGACACAGGGAGGGAGGGGGGGAGAGTTGGAAAGAGAAGAAGAGTGTCGCTAGGCGCCTCGTGATGCTGTTGACGGGGCGAGTGCACGGAGCCCAACTGGCCCGCCTCGTTGGCTGCGCTGCAGACACGAATAGAGAGGGAAGGGGAGGGATAGAGGGAGCAGGAGAGTCGCATAAGGCTGCTGACGAGTGAGTGTCCCTGTGACGGATTGCCATCCTTAGCGGTGCCATGACAGCAGTTCCACGCTTCGCCTGAGGTGCGCGGAAGAAGGGAGAAGGACTGGGGAGGGGAGAGGAGCGACGAGGAGAGCAGCGCGGAATGGGGCGAGGGGAGAGTGAGTGGTAGAGGGAGAGAGGGGTAAGGGGAGCGGAAGATGAGTGGGGAGAGGGGGGATGATGGAGGAGGGAAGGGGGGCAGAGGATGAGTGGGGAGAGGGGGGATGGAGGGAGAGAGGGGGAATGGGGGCGGAGGATGAGAAAGGAGAGGGGGAAAGGGGGGAGAGAGGGGGAAGGGGGGCGGAAGATGAGAGGGGGAAGGGGGGCGGAAGATGAGAGGGGGAAGCGGGGCGGAAGATGAGAGGGGGAAGGGGGGCGGAAGATGAGAGGGGACGCTCGTCTGCAGACCGAGAAGAGAGGGTAACGAGCGGGCAAGGGGGACGGGGCTTGGGGCTGGGTTTGGTGCTGGGCTTGCAGTGGGGTTTTAGGAAGGAGGGGGAGGAGAGGGAGAGGGTGGTGGGGGGGGGAGCGGGGGGTTGGTGGGGGTGGTATGTGGAATCAGCGGCTGGCGTGTGGCTCGTCGGTCAGCGTCTGCAAGTCCGACGTTGGGTACGTTCACTGGAAGGCGGGCCTCTCACTCCAATTCCAGGCGCCAGCCTACAGTGGTCGGACAGCGAGGGCTCTCACACGTGTAATGCCGGCGGCTTTAGCGCTGCAGGCTACTTAGCGAGTCAATTCGGCGTCGTCCCTCGCGACGAATGCCGAATCGCCGACGAGCTTCTGCCGTTTCACGGAATCCACGCGACGGAACCACCCGAACGAGTGCAAACTCAAGGGGGGGAGAGCAAGCCGGAAATGCGGCGGGATGCTATCCTAAGAGTCTAAGACGACGCACGTTGAGGCGCGGCAGACGAGAGGCTGGGTTCCCCCCTGCCTTTGCAGCCTCGCTGGCTGCGGACGACGCAGAAGCCGGCGCAATTGACGCGACGGATTAAGCCCTAATCGCTGGCGACCCTCGACGCGAAACCGCCAGCAAGAACGAATTCGGACCACGTCGTACGCGTTATAACAAAAGCTTTACGCGCTTAAAGCTCACCATGAGTACACGAGCTTCCGGCAGCCTTCGGCAGCAGTCACCGCGTCATCCGCCATTGCAGCCAGCGACTAGCGGAGTAAGCTAGGCGTGATGTATGCTGGAATAGTTGTGGGCCGTGGTGGCGCGTTAGTGGGAAGTCTTTACAAGGTTGAATGAATACTAGTACTTACACCTGGCATAATTCCTGTATCCATACAGCTATCTAGACTGAACATAAATCCTCAAAGGTTGTACAGTATTCTCCCGGACAAAAGACCCAAGGAATATAGGAAAATGAAGGGAAAACGGTTGAAGTATACTCGACAGAGTTTACTTATGCATTCCTGATATAATATTTAGACTGTACTAGTAAAGCGATACCTCATACGGAAGGACGCGCGAAATGACATCAGCAGAATCAGCGCGTGAACAGTAGGTTCGTGCGTATAGTCACCCAAAGGGTCACGCCACTCTCAGTCACACGAACAGTCACTTGTCATGTCACGCGAATAGTCGCGTTACACTAAGAACAAGAACATTCCGAATAGGTACTTCATAGAATATAAATATGACTGTATTACTCATTATTATCATCCTTGTCATTTCAGACATTTCCAATACAAGGTGTAAAGTCTTCCGCTGAATTTTACTCGTGTTTCCACCAAATGTAGATCCTGGCCACCCTAAACACGTGGTTCACTTCTATATGGTATTCTGAACTAGTGGAGTTATAGGAACCGATACAAGCTGATATCGATTACGCCCTTAAGCTTAAGTCATAGATCTATAATCTATAATTCTGTCAGCTGCTAAGACAGGAAATTCAACTACGAATTCTCATAATTCTGGTCTTTCTACTGACGATCTATCTGACTTCGCTTCCTTGATGGCTAATCAATCTTCTCAGCAACAACAACAAGCTCCACCGCATCCTATAACTTCTATGAGCCTTGACAACTCTAGTTCTGCAAGAGCTGTTGTTGCCGCCGAGCCTTTCAGCCCCTAGAGATGAATCCGCTAGGTCTTTTGCCTTCCATGGGCGACCTCTTCAAACACAGCAACAACAACAACCATAACAACAACAACATCAAATGGCAGAAGAAAGTGTTCGAGTGAAAGAATGTCTAGAATAAGGCATACAAGAGAATATAATCTAATGGGTTGTACTCTCTAAGGCACAACCCTATATAGTCTACAGAAACATACAATATGTGTTTGACACACCCCTTAGACTGGATAGCACCAGTGCTCGATGCGAGAGAAACAGCTCAAGGTGGCAATACTAGTCCAGCCTCTAAGGCAGGGATCTAAAGACCAGTCAAACAAGTACGAACAAGGCAAGAGAAAGACCAGGGTGGCACTACAAGGCCAGCCACTAGGATGAGGCCACAAGGCCAGTCAGGGTAATATATACAAAGGTCTGTACACAATCAAGGTCCTAGCAAGTGAGAGGCTACAGGAACGAGACCCAGCTGTACACAGTGCCGCTGATGATCTTAAGGCGCAAGCGCCTTCGTAAAGATATCGGCTGTGTTGGCATCTGAGGCCAAGTGTACTACACAAGCCTGGCGACGCTGCTGCAGCTCGCGCAGGAGGAAGTACCGCAGCTAGATGTGCTTCAATTTGCCCTCAAGTCGTGGCGCCTGCCGTAGGAGGATCATGGCCCTGTTGTCAGCGTACAGAACCGGGGCAGAGCTAGGCTGCTCACCCAAGTCGGTGAGCAAGAAGGTCAGCCAGCGGAGCTCCTGTGCCGCCATGGCACCTGCGTAGATCTCAGCCTCACAGCTAGACTGGGCAACAGACGAGGAACGGGTGGACCTCCACGAGATGGCACCTGCACCAAGGCTAAAGGAGTAGCCCTGTGAGGACCTGAGAGTCTCGGCGTCGTCTGCCCAAGAAGCGTCTATGTGCCCGGTAAGGACCACTAGTCTTCGTCCTCCTAGCACTAGCCCCATGCTCGATGTACTTGCTAGATAACGCAAAACCCTCTTAGCTGCCGACCTGTGCTATGGTCGATGTCTGCTTTGGGCCACAAAGCGAGCCAGGATGCTGAGAGGGTATGCGAGATCTGGATGAGTGCAAGTCATCAGGTACATGAGGCAACCCACCAGCTCTGCGTAGGGACCACTAGGCTCTACAGCCTCCTCAGGGACTGGGGCAAAAAGTATGTGGTCTACTGCCAGAGGGGTGGGCTGTGCGGAAGAGAAATGAAGCCCGAATCTCTGAAGGACCTGTCGCACCAAGTGTGACTATAAGAGAGTGATGGTGCGCGCTGCTCTGTCCCTGGAGATCTGCAAGCCAAGGTAGCGGCGCAACTCTCCTAGGTCAGTGCACGTGTGTCTCCTCAGTAGCTCGGCCTTCACGGAGGCCAGCGCGTCTCTGTGTGCAGTAGCAAAGACCACGCCGTCTACACAGACAAGGATATAGAGCGGAGTTTGGCCGGAACGGATGAGGAGCGAGGGATCTACATACGAAGGGAAGAACTGCAAGTCTGCAAGTGTAGTACGCATTGTGTTGTGCCACTCACATGGTGCCTGTCGCAAGCCGTAGATAGGGCGCCAGAGAAGCCACTCAGTGCTAGGGGGGAAGGCACCAGGGAAGCCCTTGGGGCGGCGCAGGTAGACCTGCTTATGTAGACAGCCCTGGAGGAAAGCTGTGGAGAAGTCGAGGGAGTGCAGCTCATAGTCACGCTGTGCTTCTACGTGTTGCAGCGCCCGAAGAGTGGTCATCTTTAGGGTCGGGGCGAAGGTTTGAAAGAAGTCCACCCCCTCACGCTGACTGAAGCCTTGAGCGACGTAGCGCGCCTTGAAGACAGGCGGCTCTCCAGGAGGACGCTCCACCTTGAAGAGCCACCGGCCATCGACTACGTTCACCCCAGGTGGGGGATTTGCGTCGACGAAGGTACCGGCGGTTCTCCAAGATGCCATCTTCTGCTCCATGGCAGCCATCGACTGAGAGGCCCAGGGTTCCGAGGTTGCCTCAACATAGGTGCGAGGTTGGGATGTCAAAGGCGTCTGGGTCACCCTCAGGGACTAGTAGCATGGAACAGAGATGGGGAGCGGCCTCAGAAAGGAAAACGAGCTCGAACTGCTTGTCCTCTAGGATGTCACTGCCAAGAGTAGCCACACCCCCGACGATCGGATGGCAGGCAAGGTCAGAGACTAGAGCGGTGGCGTAGTCCAGGCGGCGGGTAGCGGCGAAGTCAGTGACAACAGCGACAAGAGCCAGGAACAGACAGGTCGGTAACGAGAGAGGCAAGGACACGAGGAACAAGGTGTTTCTGCCTTGTTTAGCCTAGGATCCTCCCTCGCTCCTCCGACCTCTGTCGCCGCTGCCGCGCTCTCCTTCACCCTGCCGCGTTCCCGGTGTTTCTTTCGCGACTCCACGACGCTTACGCCGCTTGCCGCTCCTGCTGCAGTTGCTCTTGCAGACACTTCCTCCGGTCCTGTAGTTGCCCATAGCTCCACTACTCTCCCCTGCTTGGCGGTTCCCTCAGGCTCCCTTACAAGCCTGCACATCCCCTCCTTCTCTAGGAACCTAGTTGGCGTCGGATGCCTCCAGGACCTTGGCGTCAGCACTACGTTCCATGGGCACGAGCGGTACGCTCTCTGTACAGAGGCCGCCACTGGTGCCCCCCTCACCACGTTCCCCCGGGACTCGGTGTCTGGCCTGTTCACGCTGGACACCACTCCCCCCCGGTTTGGGATGCCTTCCTAGCTAGCTACATCTTCCCAGGTTGCTGCGGCGTGCTCGTGTCAGTCCCTTACTCACCCGTCACTTCTGTGGCACCACCGTCTAGGTCACCTCGCCCTCACCCGTCTCTGTTACATGTCCCAGCACTGTCTTGTCTTAGTTCTCCCTGAGTCCCTCCCCGCGCTACCCTCCTTACCAGCGCCGCCGTGCACGCCCTGCGTCTAGGGCCGCCTCCGCCGTGCCCCTCACTCCTCCTCGTTCCCCACCACCGCTGCACCGCTGCAGACCCTGCACATGGACGTCTGGGGCCCCGCCTTTGTCCATGGGCCACGTCGTGAGCGCTACTTCCTAGTGCTTGTCGACGACTACACCCGCTATACCACCGTCTTTTCCCTTGAGCGGAAGGCCGACGTGCCTGCCGTTCTTCTCCCGTGGCTTTTCTCTGCGCGTGTTCACCAAGGTCTCCTTGTGTTGCGTCTTCACTCCGACCGTGGTGGCGAGTTTTCAACCTATGTTGCTTCGCTCTGACGCGTCTCGTGCTCCTCCTCTCCTTCCGTCTCCTCCTTCGTCGTCGCTTGCTATAGCCCCGCCTCCGTTCTCGGACTTCCTCCATGCTGCGGGTCACCTTGTTCCTCGTGACCTTGCCTCTCTCGTTACTGACCCAGCGGCAGCGGTTCTCTCGTGGACACGAGAAACTCCTTCAACCGTTGTCGCCGCTGCTGCGCTCTCCTTCACCCTAGACATCGGCAAGGACACGAGAAACACCGGAGTCCAGGGTGAAGGAGAGCGTGGCAGCGGCGACAGATATCGGAGGAGCGAGGGAGGACCCTAGGCTAAACAAGGCAGGGGATCCTACACCTGACGGAGCAGGGGAGCCTAAACTAGGCACACTTGGCACACCTACGCTAGGCAAAACAGGGTAATACGAACCAGTCACACTAGAGTCATCAACATACAGCGCATGCAAAGCAGAGCTAATCTCATCCATGTCCATATCAAAGATCTGAACACGACGATGGAGCAGAGTGTGCCAGTCCGGGAGGTCCGGCGATGGGCCGGAGCGGAGACAAAACAGGTCGTCTAGGCGACGAAAGCAACGAGTGGGGGTATGGCCGATCTTACCCTACACGAGGCTGCGGCGAGGACCGGTCTGGAGCTGGTACTGGCAGCATCCATCACTTTGACTACCACCCGACGACACGCCGCGAGAGTGACCACTGCGACCACCGTCACCTCTAGCTCCAGGTCACCCGGGCGGGAGACGGCCGACCCTCCGCTGCTGCTGCTGCTGCTGCAACGGCTGCTGCTGCGCCTGTTGCTGCTGCTGCTGCTGCGGAGCTTGCTGCTGCTGCTGCTGCTGCTGGGGCTGCTGCTCCGGGGCACCAGCCCCAGCCCCCTCGTCAGTACTACTTGCGGGCGAGCCACCTCCACCACCGGCACCACCCCCTCCTCCGCTACCTCCGCCGCGTCCAGCCTTGTTGCGGC